GTTCACACCTAAGATTAATATCCCAGGAAATATCTACCCAATGACGGTGACTCGAGAACCTGCATCCCCGTAATGATGACGTAAGCGAAGGGGGGGGGATAACCAGGGGAAAATGAGCATGAATTAGTCTTGATATAAGGGAGAAATAAGCATGAAGGGGAAAACAAGCATGAAAGTTCACACGCGTCCCGCCCATGACACATTCTCACAGCGACCCGGCCCCGTCTCCTCCTCGTACCGCGACGCCCGCTAAGATAATGGACAGGACGGTGGCGGTTTTTTCTCGGGATGTGTGAAGGCGAGGGATTAGACGTGGATGGTTAGGAGGGAGAATATCCACTTTCAAAGACATTAAGGGAAGCACAGAGCTGGAACAAAGGAACAATTTTGTTTACTTTTTTTTTCTCAAATTTAGGGCAGGTCGGTTTCTGATTTGGGGTTGTATACGAGGATTCCCAGTCACGTACAAAAATATTTCATAACCGCTAAACAGACTGCCATATTGATTGGCATTAATATTCACGTTAATATCAACACATACAGGGATCTTTCCTCGTCTTCCTTTCCACACGCAATGCTCTTATAGACAACATATTTAAATACAAATAACTTTATCACAGGAAGAGAATATCAAAACGATGCTTCACCTTTTTTTTTTTTTTTTTTTTTTTTTTTTTTTTTTTTTTTTTTAATGATTGGGTTTGATTGGAATGACATTTAAGTGAAGATCCGGAAGACACCTGGCGAAGAACGGTGTAATCCAATCATTTCTTCTCCTGATTCACTCGACCTTCTTCGAACGTAATTCGCAAAGGTTCCGAATCCCGTTCGGTCTGTCTTCTGTGAGGGAGAGGAATGGATGGGAGACTGTGAGGGAGAGAGATGGAAGATTGGAAGACTGTGAGGGAGAGAGATGGAAGATTGGAAGATGTGAGGGAGAGAGAAAGGAGATTGGAGGTTGTGAGGGAGAAAAAGATGTGGCTGTGAGGGAGGAAGAGAAGAGTGAGGGAGAAGGGGATTGGAAGATGTGGAGGAAGACTGTGAGGGAGAGAGAATGGAAGATATGCTGGCTGGTGGAGGGACTGTGATGGAAGATTGGAAGACTGTGAGGGAGAGAGAATGGAAGATTGGAAGACTGTGAGGGAGAGAGAATGGAAGATTGGAAGACTGTGAGGGAGAGAGAATGGAAGATTGGAAGACTGTGAGGGAGAAGAGAATGGAAGAATTGGAAGACTGTGAGGGAGAGAGAAATGGAAGATTGGAAGACTGTGAGGGAGAGAGAATGGAAGATTGGAAGATGTGGAGGGAGAGAGAAATGGAAGATTGGAAGACTGTGAGGGAGAGAGAAGATGGAAGTTGTGAAGACTGTGAGGGAGAGAGAATGGAAGATTGGAAGACTGTGAGGGAGAGAGAATGGAAGATTGTGAAGACTGTGATGAGAGAGGAATAGGAGATTGGGAGGTTGTGAGGGAGGGAAATTATGTGGCTGTGAGGGAGGGAGAATGGAAGATTGGAAGACTGTGAGGGTGAGAGAGGTGGAGGAGAGGGAGAGAGAATAGGAGATTGGGAGGTTGTGAGGGAGGGAAATTGGAAGCTGTGAGGAGAGGGATGGAAGATTGGAAGACTGTGAGGGAGAGAGATGGAGATTGGAAGACTGTGAGGGAGAGAGAATGGAGAATTGGAAGACTGTGAGGGAGAAGAGAATGGAAGATTGGAAGACTGTGAAGGGAGAGAGAATGGAAGATTGGAAGACTGTGGGGAGAGAGGATGGAAGATTGGAAGACTGTGAGGGAAGAGGATGGAAGATTGGAAAGACTGTGAGGGAGAGAGGATGGAAGATTGAAGACTGTGGAGGGAGAGAGGATGGAAGATTGGAAAGGCTGGTGAGGAGAGAGGATGGAGATTGAAGACTGTGAGGGAGAGGAATGGAAGATTGGAAGCCTGTGAGGGAGAGGGATGGAAATTGGAAGACTGTGAGGGAGAGAGATGGAGATTGGAAGACTGTGAGGAAGAGAGAATGGAAGATTGGAAGACTGTTGAGGAGAGAGAAATGGAAGATTGGAAGACTGTGAGGGAGAGAGGATGGAAGATTGGGAAGACTGTGAGGGAGAGAGAATGGAGATTGGAAGACTGTGAGGAAGAGAGAATGGAAGACTTTGGAAGACACTGTGAGGGAGAGAGGATGGAAGATTGAAGACTGTGAGGAGGAGATGGAAGATTGGAAGACTTGTGGAGGGAGAGAGAATGGAAGATTGAAGACTGTGAGGAGAGAGGATGGAAGATTGGAGACTTGTGAGGGGGAGAATGGAAGATTGGAAGACTGGTGAGGGAGAGAGAATGGAAGATTGGAAAGACTGTGAGGGAGAGAGGATGAAGATTGGAAGACTGTGAAGAAGAGGGAAAGAGACGGTGGGGGAGATGATTGGAAGACTGTGAGGGAGAGAGATGGAAGATTGGAAAACTGTGAGGGAGAGAGGGAAGATTGGAAGACTGTGAGGGAGAGAGAATGGAAGATTGGAAGACTGTGAAGGGGAGAGAATGGAAGATGGTTGGAAGACTGTGAGGGAGAGAGAATGGAAGATTGGAAGACTGTGAGGAGAGAGAATGGAAGATGGAAGACTGTGAGGGAGAGAGAATGGGAAGATTGGAAGACTGTGGAGGGAGGAAATGGAAATTGGGAAGACTGTGGAGAGGAGAGGGATGGAAGATTGGAAGACTGTGAGGGGAGAGAGATGGAAGATTGGAATACTGTGAGGGAGAGAGGATGAAAATTGGAAGACTTGAGGGAGAGAGAATGGAAGATTGGAAGACGTGAGGGAGAGAGGATGGAAGATTGGAAAGACTGTGAGGAGAAGAGAATGAAGATTGGAAGACTGTGAGGGAGAGAGGAATGGAAGATTGGAAGACTGTGAGGGAGAGAGAATGGAAGATTGGAAGACTGTGAGGGAGAGAGGATGGAAGATTGGAAGACTGTGAGGGAGAGAGAAGGAAGATTGGAAGACTGTGAGGGAAGAGGATGGGAGATTTGGAAGACTGTGAGGGAGAGAGAATGGAAGATTGGAAGACTGTGAGGGAGAGAGGAATGAAGGGAAGATTGGATGGAGAGAGACTGTTGGAGGGAGGGAGAGGAAGAATGGAAGATTGGGAAGACTGTGAGGGAGAGAGAAGGGAAGATTGGAAGACTGTGAGGGAGGAGGAGGAAGATGGAAGGAGAAAGCGGAGGTTGTGAGGGAGAGAGAATGGAAGATTGAAGACTTGAGGGAGGGAGAATGGAAGATTGGAAGACTGTGAGGGAGAGAGAATGGAAGATTTGAAGACTGTGAGGGAGAGAGGATGGAAGATTGGAAGACTGTGAGGGAGAGAGATGGGAAGATTGGAAGACTGTGAGGGAGAGAGATGGAGATTGGAAGACTGTGAGGAGAGAGATGGAAGATGGAAGACTGTGGGGAGAGAGAATGGAAGATTGGAAGACTGTGGGAGAGGGAATGGAAGATTGGAAGACTGTGAGGAGAGAGAATGGAAGATTGAAGACTGTGAGGGAGAGAGAATGGAAGATTGGAAGACTGTGAGGGAGAAGAGAATGGAAGATTGGAAGACTGTGAGGGGAGGAGAAATTAAGTGTGAGGGAGAGAGAATGGAAGATTGGAAGACTGTGAGGGAGAGAGAATAGGAGATTAGGAGGTTGTGAGGGAGGGAAATTATGTGGCTGTGAGGGAGGGAGAATGGAAGATTGGAAGACTGTGAGGAAATGTGAGGGAGAGTGAGGGCGTCTATGAGGGAGAGAGAATAGGAGATTAGGAGGTTGTGAAGGAGAAAAAATATGTGCTGTGAGGGGAGATTAGGAGGTTGTGAAGGAGAGACAATGAGAGACTGTGAAGGAGCAAAACATTAGAAGATTGGAAGATTTAGCTCAATCGGCATAAAATATATAGTCTCAAAGATGTACACTCTAAATTCAAATTAACTTCCAATGTATTCGTTACAGCTTGTGAATTTCGAAAATATTGCGAAGTCAACTGTTTCCGTTGCAATGGAGGTAATAAGTACAAGTGAAAATTAAAGTGGAAATAGACGCTATTGTCTGGGAATTCGTGAAGTCCAAGCGCACGCATTCAAGTACAGGGATGAACGTGAAATCAAACAGATTACGAAACAAACAAAGAAACAAGCAACTAATGATATTGCAAATATTCACAGGAAAAGAAATTCATGAACTAAGAAAATCGATAAGCAAATGGATAAAAAAATAATGGAATGTAGAAAAGGAATAGATAAGAATGAATATCTTCACAATACAAGTGATGTATTTGACCGGTTTCGATTGTATCTTCGTCAGAAATACATACGAATACATAATCGAAACCGGTCAAATACATCTCCTGTATTGTGAAGATATTCATTCTCATTCATACCTTTTCATCGTTTGTCAACATGAATACGGTTCATAGAAATATGGAAATAGGTACCTGAATAACTAAAAAAAAGGTCAGGAACAACAGACAAACAAATTGATGAATATATAAAGCACAGCCCTTTACCATAAATTTTACGTTATTATCCTTTTTTTTAAATAAAGTACAATGCATCAAATTAGACGAACTAGTCAGGAAATGTAAAATAAGATCTCCTCTGAATAGATAAATGAATAAAAATATAAATCCATGAATCACAAAGAAATGTATGAATACGTGAATAACAAACAAGCATGAACAACAAACAAAGCAAATAAACTCATAAACAACAACCAAAAAAAACAATGGACAAAACGAAACAAATAAACAACGAGCAACAAATAAAACACGAGCAACAAACAAAGCAAAACAACAGCAACAACCAAACAAATAAACACATAAGCAAACAAACAAAGCCAACAAACACATGCACACCAAACCAAGCAAATAAACACATGACCAACCAACCAACCAACCAAACCAACCAACCAAACACACAAACAAACAAGAAAAGACACTAACCCTCCTTTCCCTTCTTCCCTCCCGCAGGATCCAGCCATGAGCGGCCGGCAGTGGGCCTCCCGACGGGGGGGCACCGGAGTGGCGGCGCCCCTCCTGGCCCTCGCGCTGACCATGGCCGCCCTGCCTGCTCGAGCCTTCAACATGGACACCTGCGACGGGAAACCTCACCAGGTCACGATCAACACGCAGGCGGAGGCTTACCTGGGTGAGTGAGGGAGAGTGAGGGAGAAGGGAATGGAAGGTGGTGAGTGAGGGAGAGTGAGGGAGAGGGAATGGGAGGGTGGTGAGTGAGGGAGAATGAGGGGAGGGAATGGGAGGGTGGTGAGTGGGAGAGTGAGGGAGAGTGGAGGGTGGAGAGTGGGTAGAATGAGGGAAGGTTGAATGGGAGGGGGTGAGTGAGGGAGATGAGGAGATGGAATGAGGGAGAGTGAGGAGAGGGAATGAGCGGGTGGTGAGTGGAGGGAAGAATGAGAGAGGGAATGGGAGGGTGGTGAGTTAGGAGAATGAGTGAGAGGAATGGGAGGGTGGTGGTTAGGGAGAATGAGGGAGAGGGAATGGGAGGGTGTTGAGTTAGGAGAATGAGGGAGAGGGAATGGGAGGGTGGTGAGTGAGGGAGAGGAATGGGGAGTGGAGGGAGAGGGAATGGAGGGTGGTGAGTGGGGAGAATGAGGGAGGGGAATGGGAGGGTGGTGGTGAAGGGAGTGGGGAGGAATGGAGGGTGGTGAGTGGAAGGGAGATGAGGGAGAGGAATGGAGGTGGTGAGTGAGGGAGAGTGAGGGGAGGGGAATGGGAGGGTGGTGAGTGAGGGAGTGAGGGGAGGGAATGGGAGGGTGGGTGAGGGAGTGAGGGGAGAGTGTGAGGGGAGGAATGAGGGAGAGGGAATGGGAGGGTGTGAGTGAGGGAGAATGAGGGAGAGGGAATGGGAGGGTGGTGAGTGAGGGAGATGAGGGAGAGGGATGGGGAGGGTGGTGAGTGAGGGAGAGTGAGGGAGAGGGAATGGGAGGGGTGGTGAGTGAGGGAGAATGAGGGAGAGTGGGAGGGTGGTGATTGGGAGAAGAGGGAGAGGAATGGGAGGGTTGGTGAGTGAGGGAGAGTGAGGGAGAGGGAATGGGAGGGTGGTGAGTGAGGAGAGTGAGGAGAGGGAATGGGAGGGTGGTGAGGGAGAGAGTGAGAGGAGGAGGGAGAGTGGGGAGGCTTACTTGGGTTGGTGAGGGAGGATGGGGAGAGGAATGGGAAGGTGGTGAGGGAGAGAGTGAGGGGGAGGTTGTGAGGGAGAGAGTGAGGGGAGGATGAGGCTTACCTGGGTGAGTGGAGGAGAATGAGGGAAGAAAGAATGGGAGTGAGGGAGTTTGTGAGGGAGAGAGTGGAGGGGGAGGTTGTGAGGGGGGAGGTTTAATGAGCAGGAGAGTGGAAGGCGAGGGATTGTGAGGGAGAGTGAATGGGAAGGTTTGTGAGTAAGAAAGTGAGGAGGTTTGTGAGGAGAGAGCTGAGGGGGGAGGGTTTATGAGGGAGAGAAGAGTGAGGAGGGAGGTTGTTGAGGGAGAGTGAAATGGCGAGGTTGGTGGGTGAGAGAGAGGTTTATGATGAGAGAATGTGAGGGAAGTTTGTGAAAGGAAGAGAATGGGAAGCCTATGGGAATGAAAACCTGGACGGGAAGCCAATCAGGCGGAAGCTTACCTGGGTGAGTGAGGGAGAATGAGGGGAGGACATGGGAGGCTTGGTGAAGTGAAAAAGAGAGCGGGGGAAGGTTGTGAAGGGAGAGAGAGAGAGGGGGAGAGATGCAGAGAGGACCGGGGGGCGGATGCGGACGGGGCGATTGAGCGAGAAGGCGTTGAGCGCCGAAAGGGGTGGGTCAGGTTGAGGGGGAAGTTGTGAAAGTGAGGGAGAGTACAGGACGAGAATGTGAGGTTGGGGAGTGAGTGAGAATGAGGAATGAGAGTGAAGGCGAGGTTCTGTGCACTGAAGAGAAATAGGGAAGGGTCGGGGTGATGTGAAGAGAGAGAGATGAATGGGAGGTTTGATGATTGAGAGATGAGTGAGGAGGTTTGTAAGGGAGAGATGGGATCGTTGGTGTGTGAGGGAGAAGGATGGGAGAGTATGAGGGAGAGAGACCTGGCGACCGGGAAACATCTCATCAGGTTCATAGATCATAGCACACAGACAAGAGGCTACCTAGCTAGTGGTGAGGGAGAACGCATTGAAGTGCGTGTGGGGTTCTGCTGTCGTGAGGGTAGGTTTGTTTGGTAGTGAGGGAGGGTTTTTGTGAAGGGAGGTCTGTTGTATGGTTATATAGGTTTGTTTTGTGAGTGGATGGGAGGTTGTGACAGGGAGCTTGTGAGCGTAGGCTGTGGAGTGGGGGAAGAAAGGGAGATAGCTGTGAGGTAGGTTGTGAGCGAGGAAGAGTGAGGGAGGTGTTTAATGAGGGGAGAATTGTAGATAGAAGTCTGTGGCGGAAAGGTGATAGGTTGAGGAGTCTGGAGATAATTAAGTGGTTCTTGGTGAGGAGAGAGTGAAGTTGGTGAGGCTGTGAAGGGACGAAGATTAGATGAGGACTGTTAGAGTGGAGAGAGACTGATAGAGTGGTCTGTTGTGCTGAGGATTTTCTGAGGCAAGAGTTGCATTCCGGCTAGTGCGGGAAATAGACAGATAGATAGACAGACATATAAGCGACGGGCAGATAGATGTTGTTAGATGAGATAGGACAGGATGATGATAAGATAGTAGTATCTTCGGTAGTATGGATGATGGGATTAAGATGAAGTATAGTATAGTATAGATGCTAATAAAAAGAAGATAGATAGGATGATGACTTAAGCAATTAGATATATAGACATATAAATTAGGTATACAGACGATAGTATGGATCAGTGTATATTTAAGTATCGATACAAATATGTGTTTGTCTCTGTGTATCACCTAAATAGATATGATCAGTATTGATAGTTGGGGAGTATAATTATCGTAGAAGAGATGTACAGTATGCCAGGTATTACGGTTACTATGGCAGATCGATATGATTGGGAGATTGGTGAGTATTGTTGTATGGTCGTTGCTACTATAGAGTATGTGACGGATATATGTAGTGTAGAGTGTTAGTGAGTCTAATGGATATGGCGGCATAGATACGGTTTTGGTATGGGTCGCATCTATGATCTAGACAGACTGATGATTGATAGTCGCATGGTATAAGATGGATCGACAGATTGAAGAGGCCGATTTAGGTATTATGTATTTATCCAGATTGAAAGGCAGGATAGATAGAGTATGTGTACATTATTGATGATACTAATATTTGGATCATGTATCAGAACGATGAATGTACGTAATATAAGAGATCTGCATTTTGAAGTAGTACGTTAGGACTCGACCGTGTCTCTGCGGTTACTTTGTATTGTCGTAGTGACCAGATTTTAGAGTTGGAGAAAGATAGGTCTGGGGCTATGTGGTTATAGATGATGTATTACTTTTGTATGGCATGAATGCCTGATAAGGTCCTATTCTTTCGCCGTCCGTAGTTTTGGCTTCTGCAGTAGGGGGGCGGCTTGCTAGCGAGCAGGTGCCTTGCATTGGGGGAGGTGGATACGTCTCTTGGAATGCGGAGGATGCGCCATTTTTTGCTCCTTGGACCAGCGTTGCTCGAAGGGTGGTATATTCAGTCGGCATGTGTGATGCCGACTCGGTATAGTCGGCGGGTGATTGTTCTGCTACTTCTTCTGGTGCTTGGTGAGACATGTCTCTTGTGTGACGCCTTGATTTCAACGCCTGCGTGTGGGGAGGGTCGCAGTGAGATTTGTCGGTTCGGTCTCGTATAGTGGCGTGCGGTTTCTGTATCCTGTCTATCGCTATTTCTTGTGTTGTATTGCCGTATGGATTGCATGCATGCTGGGGGCGGAGTAGGGCGTGGCTCGTGTGGATGGCCGAGTACAGCTGTCACGTGGCAGAATGACAGCCATTTCCGGGGTGTTCTGGCTGGCACTGTATGACGACATGGCAATATTGGCCTGGTTTGGGAGCATCTGTCGTACGTTATGTTGGGTGGTCATATTGGTGTTGAGATAGGAATCTATTTGCGCATATTTTGTAGGTTCGCCGATTCAGATCATACTGCGTGGGAGTCCTTAATGTTATACATGATGTAAAGAGAACTTGTGTTTCATGGTCATGTAGTACTCCAGTGGTCTTTGATGATTGATGAAATTTATTGTGTTATTTTGAATCGAGTTTCGCGTAGAAACTACTGTCATGTCTCGAATGTATCGATTACCCGTGGTAGTACTGGGGACATTTTGATTATTTAGGCTATTTCTCATAAGAAGGACATTTTTATCATTATGCTGTTTTGTTGCTTTCGGTTTCATATGTAAGAATATGTAGTGTCGCGCTGCACGGGCATAACCCTTCATGAATATAGCGGAGATCGGGAGTTAGATACAAGTTTTCATTCCCTCTTGACGATGCTTATGACGTGGGACTTGTGCTGAACGAAATAACAAACCGTTTGGAATCGTTGCATGTTTGATAGTATATAACATTTTCGATCTTGAGAGGACTCCGTGCCATAAATGATTTCAGTCTGACCATCTGTCTTTGCCTTTTGTCTCCGTTCTCTGTTGTCGCTGCTCGTCAATTGCACTCATTGTCGTCTTCCTGAATTCATTGCATCTAATTGGCGTGACGTAACTTGAGTCGTGTTGTTCTCAACAATGGTCGCCATGCTGGTGGAGTTGTTTGTCTATAGGCTCATTTCTTGTGTGTTTGTCTCTGTTTGTCCGTCGACTGATTTCTCCTGTGGCGTGATCTGCTGCTGCTGCGTGGCAGTATGTTGGCGCCTCAGTGGCGTCGTCCTTGCTGCTGTCGCAGCGTCTGTTTCCTTCGCATGTGGGCGTTTTGTTGTTGTTGGTGTGTGTTGCATATGGATGTACATGGCCGTGTATTATGTACATTACATGTATACCTGACACAGCGACATTTATATTCGTATATTGATATATATTTGTAGATAGTATTGGCGTCTTAATGTAGTATTATGGTTATCTATATATTGCAATTTATATATTAGTATAATTAGTACATTATATATAGATACTTAGTATGTTGTTTATATAATATATATTCTGTAATAGTGTCGGTTATTTTATTTTAGTTGTATTTATGAGGATATATTCTACTTATGCTTCTTATCTACACCACCACATCGACAACAAATCACCACCATCACACTCAGATCACAGCAGTTGGCCCACCATGGGTCTGGTCTCCTATCACACCACCTTTCACACACACCACCATCTACACACATACACACACACACTCACTCACACTCACACTCACTCACACTCCACTCAACACCACACACACACACACACACACACACACACACACAACACACACACACACACACACACACACACATATATATAATATATATATATATATATATATATAATATATATATTATATATATATATATATATAATATATATATATATATATATATATATATATATATATATATATATCATATATATATATATATATATATATATATATATATAATATATATATATATATATATATATATATATATATATATATATATATATATATTATATATATATGAGTGTGTGTATTTAAACATTTAGATATCGCGATTACACGCCACTTCCTCCCCTCCCCTCCTGACGCCCTCCCCCCCCCCGCAGGCGTGGTGGTCGGGGCGTCGCGCGGCGGGCGAGGGCATGATCGGGTGCGGCGGGTGGCGCGTGGGCGGCGTGGAGGCGTACGAGGCGCTGCGGTGGTCGCTGGCCAGGATCAACCAGGCTGTGGGCGGCATCGGCTCCAGGATCGTGTCGGACTCCTACGTTCCGGGCGTCAAGTTCGGTAGGTGGTGCACGCCCTCCTCGCTCGTGTCGTGGCGGCGGCGGCGGCGGGCGGGGCGGGGTGGCTGTCTTGTACGTTCAGTGGGATGAAGATTCATTTTCTTGAACGTTCAGTGGGATTAAGATTCTTTGTCTCGCACGTTCATTGGGTTTTAAATTCTTTGTCTTTGTCTTTGTCATTGGATTTTAAATTCTTTGTTTTGCACGTTCATTGGGATTAAAATTTTGTTTTGTACGTTCATTGGGTTTTTAATTCTTTGTTTTGTACATTCATTGGGATTAAAATTCTTTGTCTTGTACATTCATTGGGTTTGAAGTTCTTTGTCTTTGTCATTGGGTTTTAAATTCTTTGGTTTGTACGTTCATTGGGATAAAAAAATTGTTTTGTACGTTCATTGGGTTTTAAATTCTTTATTTTGCACGTTCATTGGGTTTTATTCTTTGTTTTGTATATTCATTGGGATTAAAATTCTTTGTCTTTGTAATTGAGTTTAAAATTCTTTGTTTTGTTGTTCTTTGAGATTAAAATTCTTTGTTTTGCACGTTCATTGGGTTTTTAATTCTTTGTCCACATTGGGTTCTTTCATTACTTTCATTGGGTTTTTAATTCTTTGTCTTGTACGTTCATTGGGATTAAAATTCTTTTTCTTGTACGTTCATTGGGATTTGAATTATTAAAAATCATCTGGGCTATACTTATCAGTGATGTACTTTTTAAAAAATGTAACATTCTTTCAAGCAAATATGAATCCCAAAAATACTTTAAAAGATGAATGTCCCAAAACCAGTCCATCAAATTATAAAAAAAAAAAAAAAAAAAAAAAAAAAAATCAAGGCATCAATATCTCCCAGAATATGTTTAATTACTATAAATCATCCATCAGGACGTCCCTAATTACCCATTATATCGCCCAAAACCATAAAAAAGAAAAACAATCACTAACAGCGTATCAATACCCTTCCCACTCCTATAATTTATTACCATAAATCACCCTTCAAATTGCCCAAAATCATAGAAAAAAATCACCAATAACAATAACAATATTATCCCCTACAATCTAATCGATTTATCATAAATCACCCATATCTCCCCTCCCCCCAAAAAAGAAAAGAAAAAGTTTCATCCCCCTAAAAACAGAAAAAATCCACCCCCTAAAATAAGAGAGAGAAAAAAACATCAACCCCCCCAAAAAAAAAATCCCCGCCCCCCAAAAAAAAAAAATCCCCCCCCCCCCCCCCAAAAAAAAAAAAAAAAAAAATCACCCCATCACTCTTCTTGTCCCCCCCCTTCCCCTCTCCCCACAGGCCTCCACGTCTACGACT